GTTCGGATGAAAATGCTAAGCACCGCCGCGGCAAGCGCCAACGGGAGGTGCCGAAGGGAAAGAGGAGAGGGAGTAGCAGCAGTAAGGGGGGGGTCGGCCAGAAGTCCGAGTATCCCGGATCAGCCAGGCCAAGAAAAACAAAGTTGCAAGGGCTCCACGTGGAAAAAGGGCTGGCCGGAGAAAATCGGAGCAAGGAAGGCCTCAAACTGGAAGCGGCGGCAGCAAAAACGAGCCCCCTTTGGCCTTGGGGGTGCCACTACTGCAGTCCGAGGTGTAACGGCCATATGCCGGTTGCAAAATCAGGTCTGGGGAGAGGTCCATCAACTAGAAAGAGGAGAAATGGTTGTTGGACACTTGTCCCAACAGTAAATAAAAGAGAAAGGAGGAAAAAGGGGAAGAAAAAGGGGGGAGAATGAGACAAAGGAGGAGGAATGAGTGGAGGAAAAAGTGTCGCTAGGTTGGGACTGCAGCAGTAGGGACTGGCACGTCTCAATGATGACCTCATCCCTCCTAGGTCCTAGGAGGGCAGTCTGGATTGCAGAGATAAGGTCCTTGGGGCATTATCTCTGCAATATCTGAATTTAAGCAGCAAAAAGAAAGAAAAATGCTGATGTGAGTTGGCCGGCTCATTTTGGGGCCTTAGATCTGAGATCTGACCTTGCGGAGGAGGAGATCTAGCCGTTTTTTGTGGGCTGACACAAAACGGTTAGGTCAGGAATGAGTTGGAAGCAAAATGGAGGAAAAACAAAGAGAGGAACAAGACAAAACAGCGTATTTGGCCTAAGGATTGGGCCAAATACACCAAAAAAATTAAAAATTGAAGAACAAGGCTCAAATTTGGGCCAAGGGGAGCTTGGGGGTAGCTCGGAATGATGAGGACCGTGGATCTCAGCCAAATCCAAGGCTGAGATTGGAGCCGCTACTTGGAAAATGCAACGGCCTACCCTAAAGAGGCCTAGACCAGAATAAAGATGAAGAATGGGCCTTTAGGCCTTCAAAATTCAGTAAAGGCTGCATTTTGGGAAGTGGTATCCCTAAAGGCAGCTCTTTTTGAAGTAAAAAGAGGCCGGGGTCAACCAAGGGGTAGTCCGAGAAGGTACCGGCCTCACAGGCTGCATTTACCTGGCCGAAATGAGGCCCAGGTACCTCCTGATAGGCCAAAACCGAAAATTTGGCCTTGGGGGTACCTCGGCCCACCTAGAGGCACTTGGAGAGGCCTAGAGGTTGGGCGGTGCACCTGTTCCAGCCTACATAAGCTGGAGGTGCAGGCCGCCACTCTCATTTGAGCATGAGAGATGCCCATGCTGCCCAAATGAGTCTAGGAGAGAGTCCGAGTGGAAGTGAAGCAAGGGAGTGAGAGCCGGAGCTAGCCTGGAGTCTGGCTACGGTGATAGGGCTGAGGGAGGAGGTCTAGAGGCTAAAGAAAGGCAAGGGAGGTGATCCGCCATAGCCCTCAGGCTGTGAGGTAGGAGGAGAGGCTAAAAGGGGTCCCCGAAGCCCTTCTAGAGGGAAGGACCCCACAGCCATAAAGGTAGGAGTCTGCCATAGCTAGAGGAGAGGTGTGAGGGAAGGAGGGGAGAGCTTGGGAGGGAGGAAAAGCCATACTCAGGAGGCCAGAACCAAGAATTGGGACTCCACTGCCTAGAGACCAGCGAGAGGTGAGTGAAAGAAGAGGGAGGCCTCCTCCTCCTTCTTCTTCTTCTTCTTCTTCTTCTTCTTCTTCTTCTCCTTCTTCTTCTTCTCCTTCTTCTCTCCTTCTTCTTTCTTCTTCTTCTTCTTCTTCTTCCTCTTCTTCTTCCTTTTCTTTTCTTTCTCCCTCTCCTCCTTCTCCCCCTCCTCCTCTTGTCAAAACTGCGATTTTTGCTTATTTGGGTGGGTGTACGTGTTGCGCTTCATCTTGGGATACTTCGGTGATGTTTCCCCTAGTGTAGATGATGTCAAACTTGTCATTTTGTTCATTTGGGTGCTGGGGTGTGTTGCGCTTCACCTTGGGATACTTCGGTGATGTTTCCCCTAGCGTAGATGATGTCAAACTTGTCATTTTGTTGATTT